CAGGGCATGAAAATTCATGAACCGGAGGGGGGGAGGGAGGGGGTCCCTCAGCTCGGCCTGCCCCTTCTCACAGTCCAGGAGCCCTCAGGGGTTGGAGGCAACGCTGTGATCAGAGGAAGGTGACACCCCATCCCACCTCTGCTGCTGCTGCTGCCACTGCCAGCAGCACAAGCCTCAGGCGGCTCTGGTTATCTGAGCCTTGGGAACCCTGGGCAGCTGGGCAGCCACCATCCAAGGCTTGCCTGTGCCTTGGGCCAGCCCTGGGGGGGGGGGGGCGCTAGGGGCTGGGGGACTCCAGAGGCAGATGTGTGGAGTGGCCATGCCCACCTGGGGGGGTGGGCCCAGCCTTGCTGTGTGCCTGTTGCCCTGGTGGGGCTAAGGGGACTGGGCATTGCCATCTTGTGACCGTGGGCGTTGCTATTTCTGTGATTGTGTGGGGGTCAATTAGCATATCCCCTCTTTATTAGATGGGATATTTAAAATACTGTCAAAGAGTTATGTGGTCTCTCTCAAACTATCTTATTGTACTGTACTTGTTATCAGTAGGTGCCTTTGTATCGCCACTTGTTACTGGTAGAAATGCCATTCTCGTGATGTTGCAAAAAAGGAATTGTCTAAGACCTGCATTGTAGAATGAGTGATCTTTATTTCTGTGGATTTAAACCTCTGGGTTTCCAATGTTTTGTTTCCCTCTGTCCTACCATGGAAGAAGTCCAGCCTTTTCTCAGTAGGGCTAGAATGAAGGCCACTGCACAGTCTCCACTCTATATTAAATATAAAGTACAGCCCAGTCTATAATCTGGCTAGCTTAGTCTGCATTCCCAACTATAGTTCTTTGTGCATAGGGACCTCACAGCTATGCAGCTTCTGAAAGCCACCTGGCAGGTGAATGTGGGTCACAGGACAAGAGAGGTCCAAGCATGCAAGGGAGGAGAAAGAGTGAGAGAACTCTTTGAGGATTATAACTAGATTACTTGATTAACCCTCTAAGATTTCACCTGCTTGCAGTGGCTTCACTACCCTCTCACCAGTTATCTGGTTCCTAGATTAGACTGACAAGCAAGCATCTTTCCTATATCACCCCAATTTTGTTGTGCATATGCCAACCTTGCCCTTGGTTCAAACCCTTCCCCCAGTGGGAAATAAACCAGTGGTTTCCTGGGGACCATGAAGCTGTAGCTTCCTGGTGAAGTTGCCCCGATAACCAATTTTATAATGTCTGGCCTCCCCTTTGCTCTCTTTTTATTATTAATACTAGAGGCCTAGTGCACAAAATTCGTGCATGGGGGGAGGGGTTCCTCAGCCCAGCCTACAACAATGCCAGTGTCCCATGCCCCTGCCAGCCTCTGGACAGAGGACCGCCCTCCCTCTCTCCACAGGCCAGGGAGTGTGGGATGCTGGGGCTGGTTGCTGGGGCGCTGCCACCAGCATCTAGCATCCCAACTGCTATGAGTGCCACCATCTTTGTGATAGAGTGATGGTTAATTTGCATATTACCCTTTTATTATATAGTATTAATAGCTAGCTAATTATGATGATAAGATATGCTTCTTGTGATAGTGTGAGATGGTGCAGTATCTAGGGGATGACATGAACTGAGTTGGAATTGTTCATTTAGTGTTTCAAACTAACACTGCAGCGAGAGAAACCACAGATAAGAAAAGACTCTACTGTACATCCATACTCTGGCTATTTCTCCATACTTTGTCATCACTGTGGCCTGGACCTGTACAGTCTCTGACTGCATTATTGAAATAATCTTCTCAGTGGTCTATCTGATCTTATACTACCTTAGTCCCCTATCACCTAATCCTCAAACTGCAATCAGAGTGGCCTTTTTAAAATGTAAGTCATATTATGTCCCCATTCTCTCCAAACACTATCACGTCTCTCATAAAATTACAGCCAAAGTCCTCTTCTCCATGGCTTTGTGTGGTCTGCTCCCATGGCCTGCCTGACTCACCTCCTTCTCTCCCAGTTGTTCACTCTACTCCAGCCACCTGGATCTGCTGACGGCTCTGCAACTGGACTAGGCTCATCCCACACGGACATTTCCTCCACCTGCAATGCTCTTTCCTCAGATACAGACGCGGCTAACTCTCTTACCACTTTTGGGTCCTGCTTAGTATCTCTTCCCAGTGAGGTTTATCCTGCACCACGCCATGACCACCTGATGCTCCCAACCCTCCTGATTTATTAACTCTGGCTGCTTTTCCCCTAACGATAGCAATTCCGCCTTCTAACATTTTATGTAATTCATGTACTTATTATTTCTATTATGCATTGTGCACTGCTCCCACTAGAGTAGAAGTTCCATTGATATATTAAAGTTTTATTAATTTATTTAAAGAATAACTAGAACCATTTCTGGCACATAGGTGTTTAATTAATATTGCTGAATCGGTGGGCACTTTGTCATTAATGACAGGGCAGATCAAGTTGGCTGGCCATCACTGCTACTCCTCAGGGCATATTGAATGTCCAAGTCGAAGAGGGCCAGGAAAAGAAATGAGATAATTAATTGAAAGTACTATTGTGACTCTTTGCATATAGTACAATTATCTATATATTATATATATGAAACTCAGAAAGTCACCTAGAGATGTAAGCACTAATGAGAGATTCAGTAAGGAATAAAGAGTCTTGCTAACTATATATATATTTTTAACTAACAATTTTATATTTCAAAAGTGACCAAATATAAAAAATAAACCCATGGACAAAAAAAGAAATGGATCAAATTTGGAATATGAAAAGACAGAATAAAATGCCTAGGAATACACCTACTATGAAAGATCTAAGTCTTAGAAAAGTATCAAACATGACTTCACAAATAAACTGAGTAGTATACCAAGTTCATAAACAGAAAGATATATTATTAGAGATAGAAATTTTCCCAAAGGAATTGTGATTTTAATCAAAATATTAAAATAAACTTTATAGGATTTGACAATGTATTTCAACTTCATCTGGAAGGAAAATATTTAAGTATATCCATTACTCTTCTACTTAAAGGTTCTACTATAGGTTAAATATCTATATTACAGGAATGGCATTTTAAGTCTCTTAGGAAAAGCCTAACTATTAAATAAATTATTTTCAAATAATTGTCTAATTAAGAATTTAAAAGTAAAACTGTACTGCAGACATACATTAAGTTAAAGTTTTGATGGATCAAAGAGCTAAAATATGAAATGTAAGAAAATATATACTTTATAGTAGAGAATAGCTTTGTTAAAAATACAGCATCCAGAAAGTCTAAGAAATCAATTAACCCCTCCACTCTCATAAATATAAATACAAATAATTTTTTAAATAGGTGAGAATAGCTTCCTATTAACTCTTGCATGAATATCCTGGATATATAAAGAGTTCCTTAAAATCATTTTTTTTTAAAAAAGACAAGCCTCCAAAGGACAAAATATATGAAAATATACCTTAAAGGAAAAGAAAAATGAAGACAAGTAAATATGAGAAGGTTTGACCTTATGGATAATCAGGAAAATCCAAACTGAGAGAGGATTTTTTTTCACATCTAATAAATAAAAAAGTTTTAAAGATTGCCAACATGGAGTATCAACAAAGATGCAGGACAATGTATCATACACCCCAGGATAATAGGTGAATACTTTTTGAAGCCATTTATTGAATGACTCAATTCCCCTGCCACTCTCTTTTGAATGTTGCCTGTGAACCCAGAAGGCTCAAAAGCTCATGTATTTTGTTTTGTTTTTATCTCTTTCTAAATGAGAGATGAAACAAAATCAGAGGGGCGTATAAAAAGCATTCTTCTCTTTCTTTATAAAGATGCCATTCTTTCTCATAGATTCTGATGACTCCTATCAACTCAACTAACTTTTATTGACTACTTACTGCCTCTCAATTATAATTATCATAGCAAAATATACATATAAGGTTAAAAAGCAAACCAACAAATAAAAACCCAGTGAGTCAGATCCCTGTTGGTTTTCTGGGCTGCACAATCTAGTGGATGAGAGAGAACCTCTCATCATTATCTCTCATTCAAGATAGATTAAGTGCACTGATAAAGGCACACTCCCAGTGCTGTGGACCATGGGGAGGAAGAGATTAATCACTACCATTACCACATTTTTAAAATCAATTTATCAGGATCCCAGCTTTGCAATGAAAGGAAATTTGCCAAGGCACTTAGTACAAAAGTATCTGTATATAATTTTCTTTTCACTAATCCTGTCCTCCAGTTCTACCCAGTGAGATATATACAATTAGCATGGCTTTCATTTATTCTTTTTCTTTTTTTTTTTTTAACTTGCTGGTCAAAATATGACTCAGAATGGGTGACCTACTATGGGTACACCATCAAAGCCTTATATGGCTTCACTCTTACCATTTATGATCTCAGAAATACCATACAATAAAGGTCATTCATTCTATTAACATGACAAATACTTTGGAGAAAAAAAATGCACGTAAAAATTTGTGAATGCCTTACATTCTGAAATTGTTATGGAGTTCTACGAATCATTCTGTTAACTAGTTCTACTTTTCTATTCGTTGCAAATTAAATAATGTATCCATATTTACAACAAAAAATTTAGCACAAGGAACTATTTTTTGTTACTAAATTGCAAATTATATTTCTTCACTTTTTCTTTTTTTTTTTTTTTTTTTTTTTTTTTTTTTTTTTTTTTTTTTTTTTTTTTTTTTCACGATTTTGAGAATAATTTAATATGTTAACTTGAACATACAACTACATTCTAATGTGATTATATTAAATGCAAACGGATCCTTACAAAACCAAAATAACCCACAGGCCAGGAGGTCAGTTTCACTCTATCCTCTGTTTAAACAAATGTGCACCACGATGGTTCAACAAGTAAGGCAAATGACATGAATATGAAAACTGCAGTTTGTAATATACCACCCACAGAACCCAGAGAAGGTGAATTAGACTAAAATGGCAGTCATTCTAATTAAACAATCAGGACGACTTGGTTTGCAGCATGGAAACTGTCGATCTAGGTTTCTTTTCTCTTAATGATGAGAGGTCCCACATTATCTCCAGTCTCTTCGTTGTGTTTGGTGTGAGCTCCGTCGCAGAACGGGAACTTTTTGGACCTCCAACAACGGCAGTACACAGCTTTATCTCCCAAATCCTCCATGTCAAAAGCATGTACGACCTTGGGGTCATCTTTCTGAATGTGTAGGTTAATTATATTTTTGTTGCGATGATCTTTAACATAAAATTTTTTGTAAGCTAGATAACCAATTGCGGCTGTCCCAGCAGCAATGGTAACTGCTGCGATCCATTCAACTCGTACGTTGGAAGGCAGGCTCATGGCGCCGTCGCTTGCAAGGCGTGTGTGCACCGGACACTGAACCCAAACCGGCGGCGGCTAAGCGCTGCGGACAGACCGAGTCAAGGTGCGAAAGGCGTCCTAAGGGCACCGATTCCGGGCGGCTACCGCGCAGGCGCCGCGCGGCAGTCCGTAAGCACGTGCGTCTCCTCCGCCCGGGCCGAGGCCGCGCATGCGCAGAGCCGCGTCCGGAGCGTCCCTTTCTTCACTTTTTCTTTCAACTAATATTTGTTGAGCAGCTATTAAATTCACTTTTTTAGGCACTAGTGACACAGAGGTGAATGAAATACACTAACTTTCTGAGGTCATAGGACTTGTTTTCTGATAGAGGAAACCATCCACAAATAAAGATGAACAGAACACAACTTCAGATAGCAATAGGTGTCCTGAGTTTCAAAACAGGGCAGATTTGGGGGATAACAAGTGACAGGAACAAGGCTATTCTAAGATACCCTGGTAAGGAAGGAAGGTTCAGAAAAAGTGAGATCACATGACACCTGGAGATATGAGGGAATACCAATCAAGCAGAGAGAATAGACAAAATGCAAAAGACCCAGAGAAAAGACAAGAAATGTTTCAAGAAAGCTTAGAAGTAGAATGACCAACTGTACCTGTTGTTGGGCTGAGGAGTCTGGAGATATTACAACAAAAAATCCAGGAAAACAGGTGTCAGTTGGCCATCCTGCTTGGAAAAGCCACCTCAATCAGAGTACATAAAGAGTGAACCAAGTGGTGGAAGGTGAGTTTAGTGAGGTAAGGAGAGCCCAGATAATGTGCAACCTTCAGAATCTGGTAAAGAGACCATACTTTTTAGAGTTTTTTGGAGGGATCTCTTCCAAAGAACCATGTGACCCAAGTTATTTATTGTATTGCAATAAGTAGGTACCCACCTTATTGAGAAGGCTTACTGTTTTCTCTCAAGTCAGAAGCACAAAAGGTTGGGCTGCCTTGCCATCAGGTCAAGCAATTCTGAATGTCAGAGTCAGAAAATTCTCAGCAGAAGTTTCACCTGCCCTCAACAGTATTTCTAAGGAAATATTAGGAATCATTTTTGTAAGTGCTTTAGGGATTCTCTGTTTGTAAAGAATCTGGACCAAATAGCCTTCCCGTAGAGAAAAAAAAAATGTTGAAATAAACTGCATTGGCTTTGTTGATACAGCTCAGAGTCCCAGATTCTGGCGTGACCCATCAGTTACCTCTCAGCCACTTTGAACTGAGGGCACCAATGTGATATGATTCGAGCCCAAGAGCTCTTTATTCTGCAGAAATACTGGCGATTTTTCTCACTACACTTCCTGTGTTAATGTCTTTTATTTTGGTGTGTTTCCTGCAAAGCCTCAGAGCAATTTCTCTAAGCTAAGAAAATGTCCTTATCTTTTGGCCCAAATGGAGACATATACCCTTTCATGGCTAGGAATGACTTCCTCCAAATGGACTTGTGTTCAGTCCAAAGTGTAACAGCAAAATACCTAAAGTCTAAGTCTTTGGTATTGTGCTTCATGTTGTCTGAAGCATAGATGCTGAGGAAGAAAGGATAAATTTAAATGAGCTGGAAAAGGGAGAAAGTGGTAGGGAGTATATATATATATATATATATATATATATATATATATATATATAAAGGAACAAGGAAAATTAAGAATCATTAATAATTGTAAAACAATTGTAGCAGAATGGAGGAATTATTGGTGAATTTTTACTTTAAATTTTCCTTTCTGCCTTTATTATTATACTTTAGGTTGAATAGAATCACCATACCAAGGAAAACATGTCAATGGAACCCAATTTATTATTCACTACTAGAGACCTAGTGCATGAATTCATGCACAGGTGGGGTCTGGCTGGCCAGCCCCTCCCCCAATTGGAGTGGAGAGGCCTATTGGGGGCAGGGCCAGCTGTAGTGTGCATCCTAGTGATTGGTCGTTCTGGTCACTTAGTTTAAATTTAGTTCGAGGAAGTAGATTTATAACTAACTAGAGGTCTGGTGCACGAATTCATGCATAGGTGGGGTCTCTTGGTCTGGCTGGTGATCAGGGCCAATTGGGGCCATCTTGCCCTTTCTCTATGGGGCCAGATGGCTGGGGGGGAGGGGCCAATCAGGGCCATCAGACCAGTGGGGGCGGGGCCCTGGGAGATTTGCTGGCTGTCCCTGATTGGGGCCAGCCAATGAGAGGAGGGGGTCAGAGGTGGGAGGGGCTGATCAGTGCCAGCCAGGGGGCAGGACTGTGGGAGGTTGGCTGTGGGAGTGCACTGACCATCTGGAGCAGCTCCTGCATTGAGTGCCTTCCCCCTGGTGATCAGTGCATGTCATAGCAAATAGCTGACCGGTCGTAACAGTTGCTTACGCTTTTATATATATAGATGGGATATTATAGATATATATATATATAACATAAAGCATGCATAGCATCAGGTATGTATAATACAGGACAGAGCAAATAGCATGTTTAGGAGATTGCAGCCCTAGGAAATTTATCAGTGAAGTTGTAAACAAAGAATAGCCCACCTGTAGCTGGTAAGCAACTAAGAATAAATGCAAAAATACTTAAACTGCATAATTATGTACACAGTCTTAAGAAGATATTTTACACTGAATTCAAGTTTGCACAATAGTCATTAAGTAAAGCACCTCAAAAATCAGATGTTATGTCTTGGAAAGAAGCAACAGAAGTTTGAAAAGAAGATGAGACCAAGTCAAGGACTGGCATCAGGGAGGCATTCCCTGAGGACGGTACTGTTTTAATTCACAAACTTGGTGATAATCAGCAAGGCATGTGCTCAGTACTAAAGAAAAGCAAAGTGAGATTTACAGGGTCCTAAGCTCCGTTAGAGGAAATTAGATCAATGGTCATTTCTTGAATTTCAATGTGCCAGATAACAGCATTTTACAATGTATTATCTCACTTTTTTGTGACCAAAACAATCAGGGGCATATTAGCAAATTTAAGTGACTATTGTAAGAGAGATATTTAGGGATCACCCATATTCAGTTCTCATTTCCTTCCTGGCTCACAGGAGTACTCTAGTTCCCAGGGGCCTTGCATTCAGGCAGAGTCATACAACCAGTTCTAGCCAAGGAAATATGAACAGAAATGAAAAGAGATACTTTTGGACAAAGCAGTTATAAGTTTGTAAGACACCTCCACGTGTTTTTCTCTTCTGAGCAAACATGGAGGCCACATATGAAGATGGCAGAGTCACAAGACAGAAACCACCTTCATACCTGAGTCATTGTTTATATGAGGTTTCTGAGCCTCAAGGCTCCTTAATCCACCTTGGACTTTGTATGAGGGGGAAATAATTCTTCCTCGCATTAAATCAATGAGACTTCAAGATTTACCTACTAGTACAGAAGAGCGGAGCCTGTCCTTATTCATATATTTATATATAATATACAGTGAGCAAAGGGTAGAGTTAGATATTAAAATCTATAATCACCTGACTCCACTCTATCATATTGCTTTAATAAGCAATGTAAAACCATTACTGATGTGTGGTGACTCACACTCTATATACCTTGTAAGCTCATAATGAAGTAGATATCATTTTCAATTTGGGTTCATGATTGCCAGCGTGCTTTGACTTGGATCTTGAAATGAATGGGGGAGCAGGTGAAAAACTGTTAATAAAAATGAAGGGAAGCTGTATAAAACCAGCCTTAGAGGTGGACATGAGAATGACCTATTTAAGGAGGAGAGATATATAAACACAGAATATAGGATTAGAATGGTAGCTATTTTCTTGAGAATATCAATGCTGACTGATCAACTTAGATTTAAGACACTGGAAAACGGTAGAGAAAGCACTGGACCAAGAGTCAATAACACTCTTTCATGTTGTTGTCAGTAGTGTCATCTCTGCTGACTATAAGAACCTCCTTGTTGAAGTGTGGGCTGTAGCCTGAATCATCTCTAAGATCCCTTCCCAGCTGTGGTTCTTCTAACCTATCTCTCAAAGTTATTTCGTGTGGGTCCATTAGTGATGCTATTAAAAGAGAATTTGAACCAGTGAGATTTGACAATCATCAGCTTATAAAAGCAATAGTTAATAATCATAGAGTTAAAAATCTCCCCATACTCAGATTAGAACTATAGATATTTTGACACTGATTTGACAACAAGGCGTAAAGTAAAGAATCTGCTGCTATATGGATAGATGTGAACTCTTTTATAGGCTAGATTAAATTAAATAACTATTGTTTTCCATTAAAAGTGGGAACAGCCATCATTGCCTTCTTTGGGGGAAAGTTTTTTTATGGCCAAATTCCAGGAACTGGATCAGCAAATCTTCTGTCCTGGAGTTCTTATTCCATCATTTTCCCAAAGCACATCCCTCTTAGGAAGCCCCTCGTGTTCAGAGGCCGAGGGAGAGGCGGCATATATGACTGCATATGAGCATAGGCATGCATTGACTGTCCTATCAATGCTAGCAATCTGTTGCACACTAAAGATTATATAAATCTTAGCAGCTTTACTGATGCTTCATACACAAGCAGCTGTTGTTTCTTGGTCGCCTGATTAAATATGCTGCAAAATTTCTCCCAAGAAAATCTCACCAAAGTTGATTCCAGCAAATCCTTCATAACATCTCAGCTAGGAACTTCAGCTTCTATATGATTCAAATAAAAGATCCAGTCGACAGCAATTTTTTCAAGGGGGCCTCTGTTTTTCCTGTTAAGACAGGCAGTTGCAATACCTGACCAAGTGTTCTAGTGTTGGCTTGGCCATTAACCAGCAGTCAGGCTGTCTGACTGTTTTAGAGAGACATTATGTGGATTGAAATGTGCTTTAGACTCTCTCTCTCTCTCTCGCTTACTGATATACAATATATATGTTAGTAAGTAGAAAATTATGGGCTACATTTTTAGAGATAAAACAAGAAAACTATCTCTAGCCAAGCCTAAAACTATCAAAAATCAACACTACATTCATAAAATTAACTATTAATAAAATATTCACGGGGAAATCCAATCAAAGTTCTAC